CCTGAAACAAAAGGCCTTTGATATCCCTGGGGGGGAGGACGAAGGTGAGGGCAGGTACAGGAAATACAGCTACGAGCAACCAAAGTCCACCCCCGAGTCGCCATACCAGATGTCCGACAACAGCGAATGTAGAGGCAACGGCTTCAGTCGAAGCACCGAGGCCTCCCAGCTGCCCTTCAAGGCTGGGAAAAGGCCAGCAGGATGAAACAAAAGGCCTTTGATATCCCTGGGGGGGAGGACGAAGGTGAGGGCAGGTACAGGAAATACAGCTACGAGCAACCAAAGTCCACCCCCGAGTCGCCATACCAGATGTCCGACAACAGCGAATGTAGAGGCAACGGCTTCAGTCGAAGCACCGAGGCCTCCCAGCTGCCCTTCAAGGCTGGGAAAAGGCCAGCAGGAGCAGCCACAACTGTGGCCTTGGAGGACCACGTAGGGAAGTACAGCAGCCAGCCCATGAAAGGCCTGGTCTCCCCTCCTTTTGGTGCTGGCAGGAGCAGCCACAACTGTGGCCTTGGAGGACCACGTAGGGAAGTACAGCAGCCAGCCCATGAAAGGCCTGGTCTCCCCTCCGTTTGGTGCTGGGGAGGCCCCTTTGAGGGCCAGGGAGAGCTTTGAGAAGTTCACTCCTCCCCTTGCCAATGGCGAGCGTGCAGGTGGGGAGCCGGGCCACACTTTCAGCCACGGTATGCAGGCCAAGCCACAGGTATTCAGCAGCCAGCCCGTGGAAGAGCAGCTGAAAAACATGGACCCCCTGATCCTAGAGCTGGTGAACAACAAAATCGTCGATTGCAGCCCTCCCGTCCAGTGGACAGACATCGCTGGCCAGGTCTCTGTCAAAGCCGCCATCGAGGAAGAGCTGGTGTGGCCTATCCTGAGGCCTGGGGCCTACACTGGGGAGAGCCGGCCACCCAGGACCATCCTGCTGTTCGGGCCTCGTGGGGCAGGGAAGACCCTGCTGAGCAGGTGCATTTCCACCCAGCTGGGCTCCACCTTCCTGAAGCTGAGCGGGACGGCCCTCCTTTCCAAGTGGAAGGGCGAGGCTGAGAAGATCCTGCAGACGGTCTTCTTCGTGGCCAACTGCCGGCAGCCGGCGGTGGTGCTCATCACCGAGGTGGAGTCCCTCCTCGTGGCCTGCAGTGGTGAAGAAGCCACCCAGGTGAGTGGCCTCAAGTCCCAGCTGCTTTCCTACCTGGACAACATCGCTACCTCAGCCGAGCAGAATGTCGTGGTCATAGGGACGACCACCCGGCCCAGCAATGTGGACGAAGCCTCCCAGAGAAGGTTCACCAAGCGGTTCTACATCTGCCCGCCCGACAGCATCGCCCGGCGGCAGATCCTCCACCACACCTTGGCCCAGCAGAACTACTGCCTCAGCGAAAGGGAGATGGCCTCCCTTGTGCAGCACACCGAGAGCTACTCAGGCAGCGAGCTCATCCAACTGTGCCAGCAGGCTGGCCCCACCAAACTCCACGGCCTGCCCGGCCAGCTGCAGCCCACCTCCTACAAAGACTTTGAGAATGCCTTCTGCAAAGTCCGCCCCACTGTCTCCCAGAAGGAGTTGGACTTGTATGTGGAATGGGATAAAATGTACGGGTCCAGGCACTGACGGCATGTGGAAAGAGGGGAGCCGAGCCTTCAGCCTCAGACTCCAGAGGTGGGTTTGGGGTTTTTTTTTTTTTTTTGCTGGTGGTGATACTTGTATGACAACTTGACCTCTGATCAGGTTATTTTGTAGTCGTTGATTTCTGTTGCTCTGGAGTCTCTGGTCTAGTGCCAGCTGCTGAGGATGGAATCGCAGCTCATCCGTGAATTCAGTCCGGGTCCTTTGTCTTTCTTCTCTGTCCAAGCTGATCTGACAGTGAAATAATTGATCCAAGGAAAGAACCAAACACAAACAAATTCTTTTACAGGCTTTGTTATGTCAGACTTGACTGATTTTGTTTGTTCGTTTGTTTTTTCGAAAGTAGTCGCTCACTGAACTCAGGATAATCTATTTATTATTCGTCTACTTTCCCGTTCATCCATGTTGAGACCAGCAATGTAAAGGATGCAGCTGGGGGGGATGCATTTGGTTGTAGTCTTCTCCGTAACATGACAGCTCTTTAGTCGATTTACAAAGACCTTATTTCCGTTATTGTTCCTAATAGACGTTTGTCAGCCATCATTTAACAAAACCAGCTCCTTTTGAACGTGGCACTATGGGCAATTTTTCTGTACTGCATTGTGCCATATTAAGGACATATTTCCCCCTAAAATCAACTCTTCAAGCCATCGTGAAGAATTTATTACTGGGAGTAAATGGCACGGGGAGATGGGAGGAGGGAGGGAAGGTTTTTGGAGTAAAAAAATGTAGATTGTTTAATATACTAGACCTCATTTTTATTTTTGTAATGTATGTAGTATTTTTTTGTTTGTTTTTTCTTTTTAACTACTCAGGAAAAAGTTTACCTCAGAAAAAAAAACAACCAACCTGAATGTGTTTATAAAAACTGTTTTTTATCTTCTCAAGCAAAAGAAGGAAAAAAAAGATCTTAAGCGTTTGCAAACTCAGTACAAAGCTGCATTATATGTTTGCTTCCAAGAAAGGATAACAGAAAGAAGAATGAAAAAAAAACTTGAAGTTGTTACAAAGATGAAAGTTGAATGTATTTCAGGTGCTTTTCACAATATATTATGCCATAAATTTATTTTATTTTTTTTTAAACATTGTTATTGTAGTGTTTGGTGGAGTAATGTGTCTTCAAAGGAAAGAGAGTATTAGTGCCGTAGTTTAAAAGCTGTTGCTAGTACCACTTTTTGGATAAGCCTACTGGATACATCCCTAATTTCTTCGTTTGCAAAGCTAATTTCTGTTGGGTTCTCCGCTGGCGTGTTCTTCCTAAGGGTCCCGCCTGTATTACAGAAGGAATCATATTAGTATAGGCCCAGCCATTTTGTAAAAAGGTTCATTTTTGCCTTTCTGGACAGGAAAAACTATGTTAGAGAACCAAGTGTTAACCTGCAAAGACCTCTGCACAGTGTGTTTTTAGACCTTGTTGACAGGAGAAAGCTGTACTGAGTTAGTTGAGGGTGAGATTTTTTAACAGATTTAATGAAACCAATGCAAATTGCAGGGTGGATGTTTAAACCAGGCATATTTCAATGCAACCAAAGTCAGATAGGATTTTGCAGATGATGAACTGGTTTTAAACCAGGGGAGGGCAAATATGGCCTCACCAGCCAGATCTGGTCCACCAGGGCAGATGGTTTCAATAAAGATACTGGACACACTTGACATTACATCGCGATCTACATTCCATCTTATTAGAAAATACCAGACATTTATATTTTCTCAATTTGTTTCCTGTACAGAAAGCTCAAATACTGAACTGTCTGGTTCAAAACCGGACACCTGGCAATCGTAGGGTTAACCCCTGGCAGGCTGTTACTGCTATATTTACCTGCGGTGTGGGCAATTGCAGCTCCCATTGGCCATGAATCACCATGGAGCTGCAGGAAGTGTCCTGGTCTGCACCACTTCCCGCAGCTCCCATTGGCCAGGAACGGCAATCCGCAGCCAATGGGAGCTGCAGTCGCCGGTGTCTGCAGAGGCACAGGTAAATACAGGGGTGGCAGCCCGTTAGGGGTTAACCCTGGCTAACCACCACCGCTTTATTGCCCACCCCAGCTTTAAGCCAAAATAAGAGGCTTGCACCAGTTTAACTAAATCATTTTAAAAAAAGCAAACCAGAAGTGAAACCAGTGCCATGTTGGTCTCAGCGCATTTCTTAACTGCCTGATCCTCCAGGTTGTGTCATTCCCATGCCATGTTGCTGGACATCAGGGCCTTTGTTTGCAGACCCCCACCAAACAGGAGCAGAGAGTAACAGCAGGTGGGAAGAGCTAAATATCTCCTGTGTCTTCCTGACGCTGGTTTTAATGCCGCTGAGACTCACATGTAACGGGGGCTCAGTCTGCTCCAGCAGAGGCTTTTTCCTTCTGTCACTGTCCTTCCGTCTAGCAAAGAGAGCCATTTTCTAGTTAGCTGTGGGGAGAGGCAGGGCAGTGCAGCTGTGACGCCTGGGAATCACACCCCTGGCCTAGTGCCATTGCTGCCAATCCAGAACCAAGAGCCTGATTCCCAACCCCTCTGAAGCCAACAGAAGGGCACGTTAGGATTCTTCTTCGGCAGGGACATTTGCGTCACCTCAGCCCCTGACTGGTTGGCTGAGCTGCATTTATACAGCCTGTGAAAACAAGCCAAGTACTTGGTGTACAAAACGCCTCCTCAGAACTGCCTTGTTCCCTTCTTCAGAACGCGCCAGCCCTGTGGCCCAGGCTTGTCTTGGGCACCGCAGCAATACCTAACAGCAAGAGCAGTGCTGGGCAAAATACGGCCCGCGGGCCGCATCCAGCCTGCCAAGCCACCGGGATCCGGAGCCCCAGGCAGGCTCCCCCGCAGCCCCGTGCGCCGGGCAGAAACGCAGCTGCAGGGCTCCGTTTCTGTTTTGAAACTGGAGGGGAGGGGGGAAGTTTTCGGCGCCGCCCCATCCCCAGCACATTCCCATTGGCCGGTTTCTGGCAGAAACCAGCCCGTGGGAGCTGCTTGTTGGAGTGACAGGTAGCTAAGAAGAATCATGCCCCCTCTCCTGGGCTCAGTTATTCATAAAGAACATGGCCAGGCAGGCTGGCTGGCGGGGAAACATTTTAAGCTCTGCAGGCAGGCTGGTTTGGCCACAGCCTGCTTCTGGCACCCCAGCCCTTCCCTGCCCCAACTCTCTGCCCCTCCCACTCAACATACCCAAGCCCTGCCCCAACTCTCTGCCCCTTCCACTCAACATACCCAAGCCTTCTGTTCCCCTCTTACATCCATACCCCCCCCAGATCTGGCACCCCAATCTCCTGCCCCAGATCACAATCCCCTCCTACCCTAGGTCACATCCCAAACCCCTGCACCCCAGTCCCCTGCCCTAAGTCACAACCGCCTGCTTCATCCCAACTCCCTCCCAGACTCCAGTCTCTCTCCTGCACCCCAATCCCTTAGCCCAAGCTCCCTTCTGCACCCAACCTCCATCCCAGACCCCTCATCTCCATTAATATCAGGGAAGAGTGCGGCCTCGACCACTTTCCAAAATCTTGGAGTGCTCCCTCCCTCCCCCCCATCAACAATGATTGCCCACCCCTGAGCTAGAGCCAAAAGGCCAGGGGCCACTGAAGGTCTAATGCTGAGATCTGGCTGTTTTGGGCAGGGAAGAGGCACAGAACAGGGTGAGGTGGGTTAGCCAGGGCATTGGGAGCTTCTCTAGCCCTGAATGTTGGTTACTCCCATCCCTGCATGTGCAGGAGGGTGGCGCTAAGGTGGATTTAAGCCACTTCCCTCTATTCAAAGGGCTTTCGGGAGCAAGTGCAGCCTCCGGGATGAGTTACAGCAACCTCTGGTCTGCTCTGATTTACACTGTGTTTCCCATGGCCCCCTTTGGGCCGGGAGAAGCAGAGGCTAGCTGCAGTGAAGGCCAATTTCTCCTGCTCTCTTAATTAGATCCTTTTGCTCTACTGCAGGGAGGCATTTGGGAGGAGCTAGGCAGGGGACTGGTTGCTCCCTCCCCGGCTCTGGGTTCATCACCCCCAACCTCTTCTCACACCAAATAATGCCCGTGCGCCAGGTGCCACAAATGGGTGCCTCGTCTTTCTTTCTCAAGGCATGTTCTTAACAGATAGTTTTTGGGAGGGAACAGACTCCAGGATGGCAGCCGTGCCCGCCAAAGGTTCGTCAGTGTCGCAGTCGATAGAAGCGATGTCTTGAGCCAGGAACTCTGACTGCACAGAAAGTGTGCATGCAGCTTTCCCCCCTTCACCCTACAGAGAACTGGGATTTTGCCCTAGTGCCCTGAATATGCCACATCCCTGCACCAGGCTCTGCCCCATACAGGCTACATCTAGACTGGCATGATTTTCCGCACATGCTTTTAACGGAAAAGTTTTTCCGTTAAAAGCATTTGCGGAAAAGAGTGTCTAGATTGGCACGGGCACTTTTGCGCAAAAGTACTTTTTGCGGAAAAGCATCCCTGCCAATCTAGACGCGGTTTTGCGCAAGAAAGCCCCGATCGCCATTTTTGCAAAACGGTTCTCAGTTGTCTACACTGGCTCTCTTGCGCAAAAGTATTTGCGCAAGAGGGCTTTTTCCCAAACGGGAGAATCATTGTATTTGCACAAGAACACTGACGATCATACATTACATCATCAGTGTTCTTGCGCAAATTCAAGTGGCCAGTGTAGACAGCTGGCAAGTTTTTCTGCATTTGCGGAAAAATTACCAGTCTAGACGCAGCCACCGTGTTGTGAAACCTTCCCATTCTGGCATGGCTGTGGCGCTGCCCCCAAAGGAAGCCTTTTCAAAAGGGGCATCTGCTTTGTAAAGGCTTACTTTGGAGCTCCGCCAGACCCCACGCTCTCTGCCTGCGAGGGAACAGAGCAAGTAGCGGACCAGCAGCTATGTGCTCAGGAAGCCAGTGTTCCTTGGCTTTGGGCAGATTTACCGTAGAACCAAACCAACCCTGCAAAACCACCCAGGGCCCAATTCAAAGCTTCTTGAGTCAGTGGAAAATCCCTGTGCACTGTAATGAGAGGTGGATCGGAGCTTTGAAAGAGGAGAGCAAACGGGGCGGTGGTGGCTCTA